GAAAAAGCAATTCCTATATTTGAAAAATTACATCCAGGTAATATTAGTATATTTGCATTTGATAATGCAACAAGTCATGCAGCATATGCCGAAGATGCTCTTATTGCTTCATGAATGAATCTTAAACCTGATGGTAAAGGGAAATTTAAAGATAGATTAATACTTGATGTAATAGTACAATCAATGCATCTTCCAAGTGGACAGCCAAAAGGTATAAAATTAGTTTTAGAAGAGCGTGGATTGTGATCTCAAAGTCAATTGAAATGAATTTGTGATGATTGCAAAAAGCATTTACCAATTTTAATTAATTGTTATGCAGTTCGTATGCTTTCATTCCAACCTGATTTTTTGGCATAACGACCATTAGTAAAAGAGGTTATTGAAAATCAGAGACATAAGGTTATATTTTATCTAAAGTTCCATTGTGAACTTAATTATATTGAGATATTCTGAGATGCAGCTAAACAATATGCTCGAAATAATTGTGATTATTCATTCAAAGCATTAGAAACAATAGTTCCAGAAGCATTTAATTCTGTTTCTTTAGAACAAATTAGACGATATACTCATCATTCTTGAAGGTTTATGGATGCTTACAGAAAAGGTCTAACAGGTCTTGCAGCTTTATATACTGTGAAACAATATAGATCACATCGGCGGCTATCTGAAAATGTGATAGATTATGTAAATTCTTAATAATAAAATGATTAGTCCATTGAATTTTCTAATCATATGATTTAAATATTAACCAATAAAATTTGTTTCACATAATTTTATTATAAAAATGAAATTTAGCCACAAAATAAATAAGTGATGGCTTTAGACTATATGCATCATACTACTATATAACTTGGTAAAATTCTATTAAATACTATATAAAAATTTTGCGAAATTGCAAAACCTGCAAAATATTTTGCAATTTAAAGCTTTTTATCAAAACATTTAAATTGATTTTAATTTTACCAGTTGTCTAAACCTATAGGTTTTATCTAACAACTATATGTATAGTTAAACAAAATTCTATAATGTGATTTAACACTGATTTTCATATATTCTGTATAATTCTGTGATAATTTAAATCAATTCAATGTCTTTATGTATTTAAAAAAAAATATAAATAATAAAAATATTTTACTTTAAACTCAATTACTTTTATTAAAATATAATATATTTAATTTTTTTAATGATTCGCATAAAAGGTTTTGATAATTACTATTTAAAAGGTTATTATACATAGAGAAACTATGCTTTACATTACAATTAAAAATTGAAAGCTAAATATAATCTAATGTAATTTTTAACAAAATTGATACATTTGATTGTATTCTTATCCAATACAAATTAAGATCTTCTTTCTTTTCAATTAATTCATTTACTGATTCACAATAAATTGACTATTTTCTCAATAATTCATTAAAAGGATTATAAAGTTCTTTAATTACTGAATATTCTATGAATATCTCTAACTTAATTTTCTATTTTAATATATACTTGTGTTATCTTATAATACTAATAACTGAAATTAGTATTAATGCAAAATTAACAAAGGATTTAGCTTTAAAGCTTTATAAAATAAAGATTTATAGAGAGCTTTAAAGGTTAACGTAATCAAAATATATTTTAAAGATAAAGTGTAATTATAGGTTAAATAATTAGAGTTTTATTAATTAAAAGTATTTATTACAAATGTATTTGTTTTTAATATAAGTATATTTAATAACTATCTTGTTATCAATAAAACTTAAGTAAATTCTTATTGTTAATAAAGTTCTACAACTATTCTATTTATAAAAAATTAGATAATAAAATAAAGAAACATAAAGCTATATAATTGATTATTAATATTAATTGATTACTAATGAAAAAGAAAGTTCTAGCATCTCCTAGGTCTTTGCAAAACCTTTATTTATAATATATTTGCTATTTCTTGTATATTTGACATATATGATATATTTAACATGGATCTGCTAATATCAGCAAATTTAACAAACATTATGATGTAGTAAAATTATGTGATCTATTCTATTAAGTGATTTGTGATTGTTTTTTTTATTATAATGAATCAAAAACATAATAAGCACAAAATAAAGATCATATAGGATATTGTGAAATGAGTGTTGCAAATTTATTGTATATAATAATAAATGCTGATCAAAATATATAGGACCTTTGTAATAGAAAGGGAGGAAACTGCTGGGAAAAATCAAATTTACTTTTATATGTCAAATATGATTTTTAGTCTGAAATATGTTCAAATTTAACATTAAATAATTTTTTATTTTTCCGACAGTTTTCTCCTTTTCTATTGCAAAGGCTCTATATTATAAATATCCTTAGAGTTGAAGTTAAATTGTATGATAAGAGAGTATAAATCAAGTTCAAAATCTTGTGCTTAAATATTTCCTTCCAAATAAAATGTAAGTTATTTAAGATGACCTTCAATAAATAGATATTGGCTTATTTTGTTGCTGAAAAAAATCCAAATCCTAAACAAATTCTTCATAACATAAAATAAAATTGATATAAATAGTAATTATTTTTCTTTTTTGTTCATTTTGTAGAATTTTATTAATTACAGAAATTGATAAATGTTTTGTATCTCTTCATATTCTTCTTGGTAAAAAGAAGACCAATAATCAATATGATTTTTAGCATAAAATACTATTTTAAATCATGAATTTCATTATGTTTTGTTTGGTAAAGGGATATTACAAGATTTTCAATTCCATGTATTTTAAGATGATTTAAATAGCATTCTTTTCATGCTGATGCATTTATAAATGTTTCTTTAATTTTGGATAATAATAATTTTAAAAGACCAAAAATCTGAATATGTTCTTCAAGTATCACTGATAAAAATATATCAATAGAAATAGTTTTTAATATTAAATAAAATTGAAATAATAATTTGCAATTTTAATAAATTAATTTATATTTACTTAATGAAATTTATAATGTGAGCTAAACATGGTATATGAATTAATTGTGGCATTATTGGCTTTATAATTTTTCTGTAACATTTTTTTATGTATGATGCAGAATCTGAAAGAAATAATTGGTAGGAAATAGGAAATATTGTAAATGGTTAAACTAGTTAAAAGGGTTCCACCCATTGTTGAATTATTCACACGCTCAAAAAAGTCAATTGATACAAGTTTTGTATTTCGCAAAAGGTAAAAAGGGTGTTTACAACACTTCTTGAACTATCATCTGTGGTCTCATCCATTATTATTACAGCAGGTTTTTGATTAAAGAAATTTTTAAGTAAAGAAAAATGTTTATCAAAAACATTGGGTAAATATATTTGGCGAAGTGTAGGAGCTTGAGGGATTGCACACCTTCTTTAAGATGTTTTTTTTTAAAAAAAGGAAGGAGTTGATTAACTTTTTCCAAAGGGATATTTGCAGAGAAAAAAGCTTCAATTAAATCATTTATGACCTCTCTTTTGGATTCAAAATGCATATAATAGTAGTTTGCTTTTTTTTTTGTTCATTAATTTCATAAAGGTATTATTTTTTATTATGTCCTTTTGAAAGACAATGTCCATCAACGGTAGATTTTGACTTCCATTCAACCGAGAAGTCACAAAAGTTGCAAAATAAAATACCTCCATTCTAAAAACACCAGGATGTTCATTAATGCGAGCGCGTACGAAGTTCGATGATATCTTAAGAATTTCACGTGATTCAGTGATCTAAATTATAAAAATCACAAAAAATCATCGTCCCTGATCTGCATGCGACATGTCCAGTGACTGATACCATTTAAACGCGTAATGGTAATCGCGTCAATTTTTCCTTCACTATCAGCAATTTCTTTCGCTCAAGTAAGTTTAGTAAATTCTCGTCATAGTTTTATATCGATAGTTTTGTTAAGCACGAAGAAAGTGTCTGCGGTAGGGTTAAGGCCTATTGGAAGCCAGTTTTGGCGAGTCGCCATCAAGCGGTGGCCGGCTGACTTCGTTGCATCAGAATTATTATGAGGGTTTGTTATCATAAAAGATGTCTGTGATAGAGTTGAGGTCTATCAGAAGCTATTTATAGCGAGTCACCATCAAGCGGTGGCCGGTCTTTCATGAAATACTGCCCATTTTTATTACTTGTTTGGTTGTTTTCTTTTAAAATAATACTCACAATTTTCTTTTTGACAAAGCAATAATGAGAGGAGAAAAAAGACAAAATTCTAATAAGGTTCGGCAAGAAATGAATATAAGCTGGATATTAAATTCTCATGAACCAACTCCAATCGCTTTTTTTCGTTTAACCCATCCAACAGCACGTACACGAGCCATTGAAAGGTATAAGAAATGCTTTGATTTTGCTGTAAGTCGTAGTGAGGGTGATAAGCTCGATAAACTTAAAGCCGTGAATAATGACGTATGTATTTAAGTATGTTAACAATTTTGACATAAGACAAAGTATTTTTTATGTCTGTTCTCTCTTTAATAGGAAGAAATTTTACAAAGAGATTGGGAGATATGGTTAAAAGAAAAAAAAGCTGTATGTATATTTCACATATTTTTGAGTCATAGGTTCGTAGTTTCTAAATTCAAATTTATTATTTAGATTCTAGCTTGTCGGGCAAATCACGATACTTTTCTGAACATTCAACAAGATTTTACATCAACTATGACTAATGTAAGTCACTTGTCAATAAGCAGGATTTTGTAATTCTTATAATATATACTTAAAAAGACTTTCAACATAGATTGTTGGTACAAAAAAAAGTGACGATAATATGGAGAATGATTTTGATATTGAAGAACACCTCCAGGAACTACATGAAGATGATGCTACAAATGAAGGTGATTACATAGATGAAGAAAATATTAGTATAGAACTTAATAGTGATGCAGATAATGACCTCGATATGGTAGAAAACAATAACAATTATTCGGAATCTAATCGAAAGATTAGTGATGATAAAGATTTTGATGATTCCATGACACCAGATTATGCGGACACTTTTGTAGAAAGATTTGAATGCCAACCATCTTTGGGACATATTAGACGTTGGATCTTACCCAGCGGAACAGATGTTTCAGAAATATTGGAGGAATACGTGAAAACGATTCCAGAAACCCAAAAATGCCTGAAGTAAGCTCCTATCTAGGCACATTCATATCATTCATATGATTTTTTTCTCATTTAATTTCGGAATTTGTTGCACATGTAGCCCTGTTTATTGGGGCATTCTAGACCTCACTGGCAATCATCCTGAGACTAAGTCTTTATTTTCGGAAAAAGACTGGTCAGATATGGTTAAAAACTTTGAAGAAGAAGTTAAACTGTCAAAAACAACTGTTTCAGATGCCGTGTGTCATTTTTTTGACGAAATTTATGAGGTATTTAAAGATAATTTAATTTGACATTTTACAGAAATAACTTTTTATTTTATTATTAAATTAAATTACGCGTTACAGATTGTTAAGAAACATAGAGATCCCGTAATGGAAATCGATAAGTTCTTTCCAGAAAATATCGAAGAGAGGTATAATATTAAATTAAGCATGGAAGAAAAAAAGCATATTACTTCCCTGAAGCATGTCATTATCTCATAGTAAGCCAAATTAAAGCAATGTTTGTTTCAGTTTATTTTCTTGTATTATTTTATGTTTACTATCATAATTACATCTTGGTTAGCATTAAAAACCTTGAAAAGATGGAATTACCAATTTCGGAACAAGATTTTGACAGCTCTTTTTCCAACTTGCTTATGAAAAATTTTCTTGATCAAAATGAAGTTAAAATTGATGTGTAAGTTCATGAAAAAAAAATAATGCTCTCATTAAATTTATATTTACATATTTCTTTTCTCCCACAATCTTTAGCGGAGAAATATGTTGTTGGGCATCTTCACAACGTCGAAACAAAGGTCGTTCAGTAGTTCTACGTGCCAGGATAGGCCAAAAATGTGACTTTAAAGCAACATTAAAACATAGTATTGACAAATTAGAAGCCTTAGTTGGCCTTCGGAGTGGTGGGCTTCCAGAGACCTATCGTAAAAAGGTTATTGAAGATAATATTGATCTGGCTGTTACTATGAGAGATATTTTGTATATGTTTTTTATTTCAAATGAAAAGACTCCAGATGATATGTTACATAAAACATTTGTACTTGGGACTCAATCTTGGGGTAAGCAAGCAATTCTATAAAATGCAAAAACTTCAAAGTTTAACATTCTTTTCATTTTATATAAAGGGTGGAACCACGATATTTATGGTATGGATTGCAAGGCAACGAATATCTGCAGATTAGGGAGATTACACAGAACCAAAATGCCAAGCACTTCTAGGACAGTTGCTTGTTTAGAAAACTTTTATTTCGCTATGTTGAGTGTGAAGGTAAATTAGCAATTCACTATTATCATTATGCAATTTTCTCATTATTTATTGATTTATTTCCAGAATACTCTTAAAGATATTTGTGAACATGCTAATGATAACGTTGCACTGGCCCAAGCTCGAGCACATCGTTATTTAAAAAGAAAAATCGGTGAAGAATCTGAAGTTGGAGGCTGTTTCGGAATTATTAAATCATCACCAAAGAAGATTCAGACTAAAAGTAACCTAACGCATTTAATTTGAACGGGCATATAATTTTTACCACATTTTAATAAATTCTGTGATTCTCCACTAAAAAGATTAGATAGAATAGACATCATCGTGTTTTTGGCTTTCATAGCTATCGCATTATTTTATTAAAATGTATGATGTTAGCACCAAAAGCATTTATTATATACAAAGTTTCCTATTGTAAATTTAAGGAGTAATTAAAGTAATTGTCCTTCATATTAGTTTCTAAAACCAACTCTTAAATCACGAGATTATAAAAAATGGAATGAGACAATACCTTGTACAGTACAAATAAAAACAATTTTTCAAAATTAATATCTAATTAACTTATCACTATTACATAAAATTTTCTTTGTAATAAAATAAACGGTATGCGGATGCGCACTGACCATAAGTCCTTCCATATATGCTAAAAATTTATGAAAATTTTCGAACTTATGGTGCATAACATGCTAGGATTTAAATTTATTTGATTTGCAACTAGACCATTTTTTTCAAATACAACATAATTAGAACTATTATCAAAGATAAATATTACTACACAATTTAAATACAATAGGATCCTGAAAACTTATAGTTGATATTCCTGATATATAAACTAGGTAAAGTTTATATAAAAAAATTTCAAATGTTAATGGCTAAGCTATAGGTAAATTTTATAGTATCTTAAAAAATATTCAAGTTTTTATAGGGTAAAGTTTTTTTGCTTTCCGACTAATATAAAAGTAAAATTGTTAATAGTTTATAAAAGGTTTCTATTAGTAATATAGGTAAAATTATATATAAATATAATGTATTGTATATATATACAATATACATAATATATTATAATATCATGTAATAATCATTAAATTTACAATAATTTCTGATATTTACTGTTAACAGAACTTAAATTTTAAACTTTTAGCAAAATTAAATTTTAATGGTTCAATAAAGTTATTTTACAGATTACAGTAAAATTTGTCATAATAGTACATGATGTTGCATAAAATAAATTGTAATAAGTAAAGTTTTTTTTACTTTTACATTTCTTTTTTTCACATAATGGAAAACAATAATAAAGAAAGCTCAAAACAAAAAAATTATATACAATCAACTTTTAATTTTTCTGTATTATTTATTGAGTTACCCAATAAAAAGTGTAAAAATATAGTTATAGATGATAATAGAAAAATTATATCTAATTAATTATAGTAAACAACTCTTAATTTTCTTTTAATTACTCATAAAAAATGTTCTTTTGATGAAATTAATACTATTAGTGATAATGATAATGATATAAATCAGTCAACTGATGATGGTTCTGATGATAATTTAGATGAATGCAGTGATAACAAATATAATGAATTTCCACTTGATAGAAAAACCTTATATATGTTCTAAGAAAATAAAATTGCGCAAATATAAATATTTTTTATAGCTAATTAATTTAAAATGTGTTTAATGCTTATGTGAAAAAAAAATTAGATAAATAATACTTATTAAAAACCTAAAATATAAGTAAAAATTTATTATATTTGATTTTTTATTAACAAAACAATTTAATTGATTCAGCTTTTTCTAGTTATATATATAATAAAAGAGCATACAGTTCTAAAGCATAAGATCAAGTTAACATTAAAAAATATTTTAAAACTAAAAATGAAGATATATTGTTAAAAAGATGATCTTATCCCTGTCAAATTTGACAAATGATCAAATTAAACAATATGTATTAAGATGTCTATCAGATTTTGATGGTTTAAAAAAAGAAACAGAACTTACTTGTCAACTATTTTCACAAAAAATTTGAAGATAGGTATCTAGTTTATAACAAATTAAGTTATAGTGAATGATAAAAACTTTATAATGTATAAAGAGCACATGCATTATGGATTTTGGTTTAAGAAAATTTATCAGTAATAAGGCTGAACCAATTTAATTATCTGTTTTACATTATATTGTTTATAAAAGTTTAGAGAAGTAGAGGAGGTTAAATAAAAAAAATTTTATGAAACCACATGACTTTATATAAAGTCATATGCAGCCGAAAATTTTATTAATATTATATATTATATTATATTAATTTATATAGTAAAAAAAACTAAATAATATGATTAATCTTTTGCTTTTTCTTACTATTAACATTATTTTCCAACTGTGTATAAAATGTTTTTTCCATATTCATTACAACTATTATATAATAGATATACTAATTTAAAATTTTCTTGTAAATTTTGAGACATAGTTATAAAATCATTATTCATATCACATTAATAGCAGATGGAAATATTTTCTGCTTTTTTTGAAGTATAATAATAAAAATCTTTTGTGCTAGACTATAATTGTCAGAAAAAATAGTGATTCACAGGAATATGTGTAAACTTGTAATGCAGATTCTAAATCTTGTTTTTCTTGTTCCATTAATTTTAAATTACTATAAAGGCATCATATTTTTCCACATAAATTGCATTTTATATAACTTCTGATTTTAGCAGAAATAAAGATATTGCTTGGTATTGGCTCAGCTTTAGACTTTAAATTGATTAGAGAAGAACAGAATTTTTCTGTTGTAGATTTGCCATATAAATTTGCAAATGTTTTATAATAATCAGGATTATCTATTCAAAAAGTAATATTTAATATTTTAATAATATTTTATCTATAAAATAAAATATTAAAAAAATATCTCATGATGATATTGGATCAGACAAAAAATATTATCACAAAGTAATATTCAAATTTAATTTGATATCTATACATTCAAAAAAATTTTTTTTTTTGGTTTGAATATTTTTATTTTTTATTTTTTTATTTTATGTAAAATTTATACATTATTCAAATTCCTTAATAATTCTGTATATATCAATTTTCTAAAAAATTATAAAAAAATAAATCATTATAAAACATATGAAATTATGATATAGAATCATCAATTACGTATATAAATCTTATAAAAAACATATCATTTCCTTATTTTGATTTCTTATAGGAAGATATGACTTTTTATTATTATTTTATATAATAAAGCATTCAGATGTAATGTTTATTATTGTACAAATATTTTATTTAAATTTTATCTTATAATAAAAAATTTTTATACTTTCATAATATACTTTTTTATAAATGTATACCCTATATAAATACATGATTTTATTCAGTCCCAATGGGTAAATTTATAAAGAGTTAATTGTATATATAATAATAGTAATAATAATAATAAAATAAAAAATAAAAATAAAAATTTGAATTAGTAATATAAAGTTTTTTTTTTATAAAATTGTATTAAGTAAAATTAAAGTAATTATTTAATTACAATGATTATAACTTATTATTATAATATAAAATTAATTTTATAGCTTTCTTTAAATAATTATATAATACTATTTTAAATGGAACTAGATATAAGTCTAATAGTTCAATAAAATTTGGAATTGGATTAGACAAATTCAAATAGTTCAATAATCTAATTGTCTAATTATCTAATAATCTAAAAGCTATTACTATCAATAGGAGAACTAAATCCTAATGTTAAAAACTCTAGTAAAAAAATAAATTCATTAGTTGAAATATCTAATATAAATAATTGGAAATGGCCAATAGATAGATTATTTACGGGTTTAATACAAGCACGTATTTTACCATATATAAGTAGTTTTACTAATTATTTTCAATACAAATACAAAAGTCATCAAATAATAAAATCAACTTCTATAATTTCTATGCCTTTTGTATTACAATCTTCATGGATTATACCTAAGGTTGCTTGTCTAAACTCATTTTGGATTTGGCAAAATGGTAAAACCTTTAGTTTCGCTAAATTTTTACTAA